GTTTCGGGTTTTCTCGCCTACTCTCCCTCATTTTTAAGAAGCTCAAGGTTCCTCTTGGAACCGAGCGAGCTATCAGCACTAGGTCTGTCGACGAGATCAGTGTCTTGATACTCAAATCTTTGAGTATCCCTACGGATTTTGGAGCTGCTTTGATTCGGAACACTGGAGAAGTATCGACTTCCACTCAGCCTCCGCCTCACACTGAACCCTAAGCGGAAGCTCAAGAGATGGAGGCACAGCAAGCTCTTCCTCCTCCTATTCCGTGACCACCACCTCCGCTGCGATCCAAGTGGCAAGAGCTCCTCAATGCCATTTGCTGTATGGAGACACGAGTCGTTGAGCGCATTGACCAGACAGAGCGGATGATGATAGAGCGACTTGACAGACATGATCGCCGTCTTCGTGTGATCGAGGATCATTTCCATATCCGTCGGTCACCTACCCCGACGCCTCAGCATGAGGAGGGGCATATTGGTACTTCACATGGTCCTCATGGAGCTGAGGAGGCCGTGGACCCTCGTTCCGAGCAGCCATGAAGCTCCTTAGCGGATTGGATCTTTTATTTCTTTATTTTTCTTTTCTTCTGTTAAGATAAACTTTGTAGATTTTATTTTTCTTTTATTTTTGGATAATCTTGTGCTACTTATGTTTCTTTGTACCTTTTGTTTCACTTTGGCCAGACTTGGGATGATCGTGAGGATTAAGGGTTTCAAATTGCATCACCACCTATTTGAGGGAAGTTTCAGTTTCTTTTACCTTCCTCTACAATGAGGACATTGTAGATTTTAAGTGTGGGGGAGGGATTACTTTATCTTATGAGTGATTGTGTCTTGAAATGCATGATTTTAGTTGTCTATGGCTTAAAAATGTTGGAATTATATTTGAAAATATTGTCATGGGGTTAATTTTCTTGAAATTAAGGTTGTTAGCAGGGAGTTTTGTCTATTTTTATGAGGAAACTCTGTCAAAATTTTTCTAAAATATTTTCCAAATACTTCTAATTAATGGCCAAAATGTTCAATTTTAAGTACCTAATTCTTCCATTGGATAAAATGTTATATGTATTTTGGGAAGGTTTAGTCCTCATTTTGTTTGGAATGAATTATTATGCAATTAGGGTTTTTACATTTTAGAAAGTATATTTGGTTAAATAAGAAAAATTATGCTTAGAATTTTGCATGTTTAATGATATTTCTCATTTTTACTTAATTTTATAAGTAAGTGATTAATATAGTCAAGACAAGGCCAAATTCTTCCTTTAATTATGCTTAGAGGGAAAAGAAAATTGTTAAAAAAAAGAAAAAAAAAATATATATATATTGATATTATTTTTTCTACTCCAATGATTCACATACTGAGTAACCGGGGGTTGACATTTACAAATGTCGACATTCGCGTAAAAAGGTATTGAAATTAAGAGTATGCTTGACAATTTGAATAAGTGAAACGTTGAGTAATCGGGAATCTTTACCTAAAAGTGTCGATTTTCGCGTAAAAAAGCGTTTTCACTATTTAAATAAAATGAAATGTGAATAAATCCCTCTAAATTGTTAAGTTTTGGGATGAGGAAGGCCATAAAATTGACTATGTGATTTACTTATTTATGAAATTAGGATAGAATGAGAGATTGAGTTGAATTTGTTGAAATTAAGGCATAATTATTTTTTTTAATTGAATATTATGAGTATTTAGTGTAATCTGAGAAATGGCACAATGATTGGTTTCTAGGATTTGAGGAATTAAATTTGACAAAAGTATATATATTATTTTATCTCTTGAATCATTGTGATAAATTATGTGTAAAATTGCTTGAAAACAAGCAATGATTCAAGTGTGGGAGAATTTGATAAGTGAATATTTAATGTATATTTTGTACAAATTTGGCATGAACTTTTGGTATGTTTTGAGGAGATTAAATCCATATTTGAACTCTTTTGGTGATAATTGCTTAAATATTGTTTAAGTGTTCAAAATTTGATAAATGAGTGGATTAATGCGTTAATTTGGTGAAATTGTGAAGGATATTGATGTATGAAACTCATGCACGAGCTGAAAGAAATGTAAGGATCGTCCAGAGGATAAAGTACACAAGAAATTAAGAGCAAAAATGAAGAGAAAGGAAAAGAAGAGAAAAACTGGAAAATCACCAGCACGGATCCGAGCTCGGATCCGTGGGAGTAAAGGGCATCCGAGCCCTCGTCTGTACTTCTGGAGCAGTGTATCCGAGGACAAATGATCCGAGCTCGGATCCATCAGAAAAAGACCTCGAATCCTGAAGATCCGAGTTCGGATCCATTTTCACCCCTCGGATCCGAACCTCGGATCTGTCTTTCTCTTCAGCAAGTGGCACAGCCGTTTTTCTTGACCTTTCTCACAACTTTTCCAGCTATTTTGAGAGACAGAAATCGGTGACACATGCTTCTGCAACAAAAGAGAAGACCAAATGAGTTGTAGACAAAAGAAAACATCATATCTTTGACTTCTTTTTACAAAATTTGAGTGGAGGAAATTATGAAGTGAGAGGAATAGACTTTCTACCACCTTTTATGCAGAAACACAAGGAAGAGGCAGGGGAGAACCTTACGTAGCTAGTTTTCCTGCTTGTAACTAGTTTCTCTTTAGCTAAGAGTTCTTGGAGAAGCATTTGGATTTTTCACTTGTAATCATTTTGTACAAGAACATAGCAGAAATTGGAGGGTTTCACCATCAATTGGCTAAACTTTCTTTTATCTTTCTTGTATTTGTACTTTATGATGTTTTGCATTAATAAACTTGTGAGTTTGATTTTTATTTCATTCATGAGTAGCTAATTTTCTTTATCTAGGGAGTAGATGAAACTTATGGCTAAATAACATGAATTGAATGTGATTTACACTTGTTATATCTTGTATTAACTTGTCTATTTATGCAGTGGTTATTACATGTTATTGATTGATCACCAATAGCATGCTTATAGTTGTTATTATTCAATGGGAATTGGTAGTAGCAATGGAAAAACATGAGTAGAGTTTAAGTTGTATGTTCATGAAAATAGAGATACACTTAAGTGGATTACTTATCATTTCATGAAAGAAAACAGAGGGGTATTAGTATTTCACCATGAAAATAGGGAAAACTAAACTACTCTAGGCCATTTCAGCATGATAATGAGACTTGGTAAAATTGGAAATGAATCCTTGGTTAATCGAGAATAATAATAAGAGGTAAATCTGTTCATTTGCATTATTTATGCCATAAGTGGAATCTACATCCCTAGATCCATTTTTGAGTGAAATTTCTCCATTAGCAATTAGCAATTATTAAATTAGAATTGCAGAACAGATTTGTAGACATTTGTAAAATGATTTCTCTACTCAAATTCATTCAATAGTCTAAATAATAGAGAAAAATAAGGGCCTAGTACTTGTTTAATTTGCTCCTCGTGGGATCGACCCGATACATACCTTACATTACGATTTCGGCCTGTATACTTGCAGTCAACGGGTATAAAATCGGATTTAAACTTGCATTGATACAAAAAAATCCTGTCAGTATGCTTCTTCATGACCATCCAAAACTTCTTTGTATCATCATCTTTAATAGTTCCTTGATGTAGACAATTACAGATTGGTGGTGCAATGATATTGGCATTTGTTTGCATCCCTTCAATCTTTATTAGCTAAAATCATGTGGAGCATGCTGGTACAATATTAAAAATACAAAAAAACCCAAAATAATATAGTATAAAATCAAAAAAAAAAAAGATTTCACGCAATGATAGATTGGATGCAACATGAAAGGTTGGTGTCTTCATTAGCCATTGTCGTTATTTATGGATTCTTGCAGCCAATGTTTTGAAAACAGATTGGCAACTTTGAATAGTTGGGCAGCGAATCGATCATGGCACCAAATGATTTCATATTAGACCCAGAAGTTGAAAGGATTGAACCAACTTCCAGTATTTTCTTTAATGGTCATGTATTCACTACAAGAAAATTGTTCATCAGTGACGACACAAATTCATCACAGAACATACAAATATCGTCACAAATACCTTTTATTGACGACTTTTTGATCGTCACAAAGTCGTCACTAAATCCCCGTCGGTAAAAGTAAACAGTGACGACCTAAAATTACGTCACTAAATAGTTCTCATTAGTGATGACTTTAAGTAGAGCATTTTTGACAAAAAATCAAATCGTCAATAAAACACTTCCGGAATGTTGTTACTAATGACAACTATTTAGTGACGACATTTCAGGTCGTCACTAAATAGTTGTCATTAGTGACAACAATCCGGAAGTGTTTTATTGACGAATTGACCTTTTGTCAAAAATGCTCTACTTAAAGTCGTCACTAAAAAGCACCAAAATCCACTGTATAATAACTATTTTACTGATAACAATTGTCGTCACAAATGTAGCTTAGATTTAGTGACAATCTCTGTTGTGACAAGGAGTTTTTATTTTCTATTTTGTGACAACTTTTTTTTGTCATTAGATAATTTCTCAATAGCTTAATAGTCATAATTTGGCCTGTAATCATTGCTAAATCATTGATTTTAAACAAACCATACAAATAAACATGAACGATTGATAACCAAAAGTATTTGCATTAGATTACATGGTAATAATATAGCATTCTCAAATGCCAAATTCAAGTGTACATTACCCAACTAATGCCTACAAAAATAACATTTGTCCAAAATATCACTTGTACATAAGGTACAAGTACAAAAGCAATCACAGTTTAAGAAATTGAAAAACATCTAAATGAACCACTCCATGAGCAAAAGGCAATTTTGTCTTCAACGTTCTTCAACCATAACCATAGATATCTTCCAAAAACTAGTATGAATAGCATTTATCTGTCATAAAAGAGTAAAAGAAGTAGGTAAGGGGAGGAGTACAATAATAAAGAACAAGTAATGAGACTTAAATTATTAAGACAAAAATTACAATTCATTAAGAACCTCATATAATTTGGGCCCACATATTACAACACCAGCAAGAAATTAGAAATCACAGTCCAATCTATACAAATACAACACTGCATAAGCTCAACTAAAGAGCTCTCTAAAACAGTTTTTTTTTTATTTTCTTTGGGTCCAAAATAATGCAGTCTAATTCCAAACGGCAATAATGACCATAACAACACGTATTTGTTCATATCTACCACGTAATTTAATGGAAAAGTTCAAACCCAACCAAGAACAATTAGCAATGGTTTGTTAAACTTGATCTTTTATATATATATATATATAAAATCCAATACATTCATTAAACCATCTAAAAACGTGATCTAAATATCATCTAGTCAAGTGTAATCAAGAAAATATTGTTTCCATAAATACAGAAAGACAAGAACCTGAGCTGCAACTTCTGTTTGGTTATAAGCTCCTCTTCTTCCCCAGTCTCCAACAACCAGGATACTGAGCGATCCATCAGGTTTGATGGGACGTTCAAACCTTGGAAGTTCAGCTTTTGAGTAAACCAAACACAGCCCACAAATGAGAATGATCTTGTAGAGAAGAATGATATTCTGGAGGTTCTTGGAAGCCATGGATGTGGTTTGAAATACAGCTTCCAAAAGAGTTAAATTATCAGGGCTGTTTGGGGTAAGATGTATGGGGGGAAACTGAGAAAATGTTGCTTAAATAACTCAGACAGAAAGGTAGGACTGAGGAGGATGGTACCTAGGAAGCTTCCTCCTGATCTTTGTGAGCCCAAGGGGTCATTTTTATGCATGGACAAAATCAGAGGATAGAAAAGTTTCTTGAATGGGATGGAACCTGGGATAAAAATCTGTTTTGAACTTTTACAATTTGGACAAATGGAGACTATTTATTCAGAGCTCCTTTACACGTTTGACTCTGTGTGTGCGTGTTGTCTGGGTATAGAGTTCTCTGCATAAGCATTTGTACACATTTATTCATATACATGTACATTTTATAAAGAAAAGTTTCACTTTTAGGAGATGGAAGATGTAGTAGTTGGTCCCATTGCATCACCATGACTTAAAAAAAAACTTGTCTTTTTTCTTTTTTTACTCATGATGAAACTAAAAATGCTATTACCAGCTATTACCAAAAAACAATCCACAGTGACCACAAGTTACCCAAAAACAGGTCACATCAGCCCCAAAAAATGCTATTATCAAAAACAGTCCACAATGATGCATAACATCAGCCCCAAAATCAATAAGTTAAAGGATCAGAATAGCAACAGTTCACATTAGTATTGTAATTCAATTATTCGTATGAGAAGGATGCATTACCAGCTATTACTACCAGATGCATTTCCATTGCCTTGGTTCTTGGACTGCAATTCTGCTCGTAAAGCCTTAAGGAGTTCCTGCATTTCAAGCTGCTGGTTTTGCATTTCAGCTTGTTGATTCTCAAGCCTTTGCATCAGCTGCTGTTGAGATTGGACTTGAACTTCCAATTCAACTGATCGTTTCTCAGCTTGTTCTGCCCTTTTCTTGAATTCTTCTATCTCTGCAAGTTTTTGTGTAATTAAACTAGCCTTGGAGGGGCCACGACCACGTACATATCCAGTTATACGCCCAGTCACCTCAATACAGATGTCTTCTTCGGTTCGATTTACACCACTAGATTGAGCTTCTAGCTGTAAGTCCTTCATTTTGCTCTACAATCACAGGTTTGCTATTATTGATATATGCATAAGAGACATGAAGCATTGGTATTAAGTTGAAAGTGATATTTTTCTTACCAGTTTTTCAGCTGATGTCTCATCAACCATAGCATTCTTCTTTCGACAAAAATGTGTCATGTCATAAAGTTCAATTGGTCCAACTGTCCTTCCCTCCTTAGCTTCCTATTAGCAAAACAGGTTAAATAACCCAACCACATATCATAAATGAACTACTTTACACGTTTACTGACCCGGTCATCCTTATGACGTAAAAATGATTTTGTTCCAGCTGTATGGGCAGTTTGCTGCTTTGATCTATTCAGCTTATTTCGCTCACTTAAGGCCTACAATTGTCAATTCTATCTCAGATCTAGATAAAAAAGAGACATTGGCAAAGTATATAGCAAATTAACAAGTATGTGCTACACATACCTTGAATTCTGGACTACAATAGTAATCGCAAAGGTAAATCCAATCTGATTCTTCCACATATTCTGGTCGATGTGCAAGAGCTTCCTCCTTAGAGCCACATTTTTTGAATAGCATGTGAAAATTATAACGTCGACTTCTATACTGTGAATTTAATTGCTTAATTAAAGCTGGTTTCACATGCTCTCCTCCATCATAAGTGAAACTATTCTGAATTAAAAATAGAAGGACATATCAAAATCAGAAAAAATTAATGGACTAATTTAAATTGCATCTAGAACACCAAAAAAATACTATGATAGCAGATTCTTACATTAGTAATTCTTAGCAGTTGATCTCTATCATCTTTAGGAAGCATGCCCCATTTAGGTGCTTTCCACTTGCCATACTTTCGAATAACGCAGCTTGCCTCTGAAATGTATCGTTGAGCACCTTCTCCAACTATTCTTCCACTTATTTCAGAAACAGTAATATTCACCTTTTTTCCAGCTTTCTTTTCATTTGATAGTGCAATATTACGCGTATATCCTCTTTTTCTTTTTAACGTCACTTGGTCTAGTAGATACAAAGTAAACAAGACCATATTCTATCAATAGCAGCCATGGCAGTAATTAGTTAATTAGAGTAGAATTACACGTAAAACTAACATACCTGAACCGTTTGACTCAAGGTCTTGCATACTTCCAGTTTCATTGCTTTCACAACCAATAGCTTGATTAGATCCAACATGCTGTGAAGTAGGAGTTCCATCAGTTTGCATCCCAGCAGCTTCTTGTGATGTCATTCCATTGCCTGAAGATTTTTCAGCAATCTGTCTACTCTCAGCTTGTATACCTGAATTTCTTGTAGCATTTTCTCTAGCAGAGGATGCACTAGGAATCTATAGGCCAGCAATTTAAGCCACCATTATACAGCGACATGTATAAGCTGAATCAATTGCTTTGTCATAAACCAGTTTTTTTAAATGGCAGATTGAAAAAAATAATAACTAACCTCAGATTCATCAAATAGACGGATCCTAGAAGACTTTTTTGTTAATACAGGTTCAGTGACATTGCTTGTCTTGGGAATTGCACTATTTTTTGGTTCACTAGCTTGCTACAATAACATAAGAATGCGCTTATCAATAGTAACTAGTTTAGGATGATAATTGCTAGTTTAGGAAAAAAGAAAATATCTGGAAATGACTCTTGTTTCTTTACCTGGCAGCTTACATTTTCTTCAGTTTGCTCCACAATTCCTCGCCCAGCATCCCGACTTTGTCGTAAAGTAAATTTTCCCTTTTTCCCCGGTCCAGCCATCTATCTACATAATCATATAACGCAAGCACCACCAAAATCGTAAACAACACAAGCAGCCATGACAACATATCATAAACTACAGAAAAAATACAAGAAAAAATTTCATTAAGAAATTCAATGAACAACATTGTTTAATCTGATTCATAGTTATTGATTTGTACAAATTGTTCATTTTCATCCTCAGAATTGAATTGTTGCTCAATTTCCTCATCATTATCAATAAAATTGTCATCCAATTGCCTTGCACGGCTAGCTGACAATTCTATAAAAAACATAGCACCAGCCTCTATCCTTTCTTCAGTTTGCACATCTCCTCTCTTCAAACTGACCAACTCAAGATTTTCTACCACCCCAATCAAATCTTCATGATACTCTTCTTGGTAAGCCTCTTCGTTATCAACCAAATCATCTTCATGCTTCTCAGGAACATCATAAGATGAGCGTGGACTAACTAACTCTACAACATGCCAATTACCTCCAAGTTTCATATCTTGAAGATAGAAAACTTGTTCAGCTTGGGATGCTAATATAAAAGGCTGGTCTGAGTACCATGTTTTTGACATGTTGATGCTAGTGATATTGCTCTGCTTGTCTACTTTGATTCCCGAATTATTTCTCAAGTCCCACCAATCACATTTAAACACAACTACTCGATTTTGAGTAAATGAGTATTCAACCTCAACTATATCAGTAATTATACCATAGAAGTATGTTTCTTTATCAGCATGCTCCCCCTTTACCATAACTCCACTATTTTGTGTCTTTCTTTCTCTTTCCCGAGCCTTAATGTGGAATCTAAATCCATTCACATTACAGCCAGCAAATGTATTGACTCGAAAATCAGGTCCTCTAGCCAAGGACAACAATTCATCAGTACATTCTCCACGTGCATGTGTATACATGACCTACATTAGCCATACTAGATTCTTTAATAGTTTACTAAAATAAAAAGTAAAGGAAATTGACAAGTTTTTAACATCTCTTCCAATACTTACACGTTCTTCAAACCACTTTGGAAACTCCGAGTCTAGCCTTTGCTGAACGCTCGATAAATTTTGCTTTTCAAGAATTTGTCTATGCTCCCTAAATTTGTAGTAGTAGAAGTAGTTACATATTCTATCAAATGACTTTAATTACAAGCAATGAAGAACATATTATAGAACACGACATAGATTTATCATTAAAGTATATTATTACCTCATGTAATCATCTACTTCTTCACAATTTTTCAAGATGAACAGGTGTATTCTTTGCAATTCAACCTCACTTAGATAACCAATCAGTGCTGCCCCAAAGGGCCGAGCCAAGCTAGAAAATATAGATAATTTTCCAGCAGCTTCGTGTTTCTCCATATTTCGTTCCGTTTGATTAAACCTGGTCGGAACATCATGCAAATACCTGGAAATGAATGTAAGACATTCATCATCCAAGTAGCGCTCAGCTATACAGCCTTCAGGTCGTGCCCTATCATTCACATAGCCTTTGTATTGACCCATTTTTCTATCCAAAAAAAATTCAGCCCGAGTTGTTAGAAAATAAGAAAATTGGAGGTAAATCAAATAGGCATTATTAAAAATAAGAGGCATGTACCTCTCAAATGGAAACATCCACCGGTATTGGGCTGGTCCAGCAATCTTGGATTCAGTGGGTAAATGGACCATTAAATGGACCATTAAATGGACCATTACATCAAAGAAATTTGGAGGAAAAATTTTCTCAAGTTTGCATAGTATTAAAATAATATTTTTTTCCTGCATTTCCAGCTCATCTAGATAGAGAGTTCGAGAACAAATTTTTCGAAAAAAATTGCTGATCTCTACTAAAATCTGAGATACATCTTTTGACAGCATTCCTCTAGTTGCTAGTGGAAGAAGTCGTTGTATGAACACATAGTAGTCATGACTCTTCATTCCTAAAAGTTGACACTCCTTGGTCTTCACACACCGAGGAATGTTTGAAGCAAAGCCATCCGGGAACTTGATAGTGCTCAAAAACTGGCAGAAATTCTTTTTCTCTAGGCGTGATAAAGTGTAACATGCAGGTGGCATAACTTTAGATGCGCCACCTCCCGGTTGTAGATGCAACTCTTCCCTTAATCCCATTTCTTTTAAATCTTCCCTAGCCTGCCATGTGTCCTTAGTTCTCGAAGGGATATTCATTAATGTACCTACCAAAGATTCACATACATTCTTGACAATGTGCATAATATCCAAATTATGTCTAATTTTATTGGTACTCCAATATGGAAGTTCAAAGAATATGCTCATCTTCTTCCAATTTGAACTGTTCTGCACGCGTTTTCTTTTCTTCTGTTGCAGCAAATCAGGTGCCTTGCCAAACTCAACTTGCTCAATACGAAGAAGTTGTTGGAGGACTTCCTCACCTGATAGGGTCCTAGGAGGCTGTCTATGTTCTCTTTCTCCATTAAATTGCTTTTTTTCTCGACGCCATTTATGATCAATAGGTAGAAAACGGCGATGGCCCATGTAACAACATTTGTGACCATTATTAAGATATAGACTAGTCGTCTCATCTAAGCACACATGACATGCCTTGTACCCTTTTGTACTCCATCCCGACAAATAGCCATATGCTGGAAAATCGTTTATTGTCCACAAAAGTGCTGCACGTAACATGAACTTCTCCTCCCTGAAGGCATCATATGTCTCCACATCAGTGGCAAATAACTCTTTTAACTCATCAACTAGTGGTCTAAAGAATATGTCAATGTCATTTCCAGGTGCTTTGGGACCAGGAATAATCATTGATAGGAAAAAAAATGGATCTTTTAAGCATTTCCAAGGAGGTAGATTGTAAGGAACAAGGATAACAGGCCATATACTGTATGAATTGCTCATGGTTCCAAAGGGATTAAAGCCATCACTAGCAAGTCCTAGCCTCACATTTCTAGGATCTTCAGCGAAGGACTTGTGATTTCTATCAAAATCCTTCCAAGCTAATGAATCAGCAGGGTGTCGCATCATGTTCTCATTATCTACACGTCTCTCCTTATGCCACCTCATATCCCGAGCAATCTCTTTGTTCACAAACAGTCTTTGCAGCCTTGGTTTTAATGGAAAATAACGCAACACCTTTCTAGGTATTTTGGAATTTGGAGATTTATACCGCGGTGCTTTACATTTTTCATTTGGACAATGATCAAGGCCTTTATTTTCATTCCAAAAGAGTGCGCAATCATTTTCACAGGCGTGGATCTTTTCACACTTCAGCCCCAACTCACGGATGAAATTATTTGCCTCGTAATATGAACTGGGAATCAAAGCTGTAGGAAATACTTGATGCAAGAACTTCAGCAACATATCAGTAGATTTACAAGTCCACCGATTCATTGTTTTCAAGTGGAGGATATGGACAATAAACGAGAGTTTTGAATACTTTTCACAGCCTGGGTATAGAGATTTTTCAGCCTCCGATAATAATCTGAGAAACCTACTTGCTTCTCCTTCT